GTTTAGTTTTGCGTTAGGATAGTTTTTTCTACGTTATAAAAATGGAAACCTTATTTTGAAGTATACTATCTAGCGATCACCGAGACACAAGGCGAGCGCCGTAGGCGCGAACATTGTAGGAGGTTCCGGGGAGAATGAAATTTTTTTCACCTAGAGTCTCTCCAATTCCATTTCCGGGACTTTGGAGGGAAGATTTTGCGAAATTCTGATGGTCACAAAACACTTGTTAAATTAGTAAAATTGAGTATTAGACATGGGAATTCTTGTTATATCGTATTATACGTGAACATACTCGGCTTAAAGGTAAATAATAAAATTAAAACTTTAAATATTAAATTATGTGCTCAGGCTCCTGACTAAGTCGACGATGGTGTTTCCATATTGAAAACAAAACTGTCAAAACATTTATATCGATATGTCGAAAAACACCGAAGCATCAGAAACAATGAAACATATAAATATTTCATTCTTTCAAGCTCTAGTTGCCCCAAAAATTGGTACATATATGTCATTCACGCTGTCACGCCACGCCAAAACGTGAACATTCAGAATGATTTTAAGCTAATTATGCGCCAAATTTTGGCGCATATTTAATTTCTGCACGCCAAAGATCTTTGGCGCAACATACGAACTTTCCAGTATGGGCGCTGGCTAAGTTTATACAGTATGCTACCAATTTCAGCAACAACTCTTGTTTTTAATAACCCACTGAAATGATACACAAACGCGGTCGTACAAATCTTTACATGTCACATTATTTTGAACGTTGCATATAGTTTTACCAGTGGATGTATAAATGCATATGACCGTGATATGATTTATGTTTTAAAACACTACAAAGGTCAAAGGCAAGATGTATGTGGAACTATATAAATGTCAGCTTTCATTAATAACCTTATTGAGTGACACGGTAAATTAAAGTGCGGGTCCGTCCATCCACATGAAGGATTTAATTAAGAGTGAATACAAACGCGAAACATTCGCGGTTATAGTCGTTACGCGCATAATACTATATAGCACATTAAAATATTAATTTAACATGCTTAATAGCTTTACACAAAATGACTGAAAATTAAATTAATACATTTTCGTGAAGTTGAACTATTCAAAATATTTCATTATTGTTATGTTACTGATAATGTTTGATTAAATGCGTGACACTTCAAGTGCCACATTACCGGCTCGTTGTTATCGCAGTTCAGCTTCAGGGCAGGTATTTTAAATTTCGACTCTCTGGTTTAGAAATATCAAAGTATTATAACAGTATTTCCTCAACAAATATGAGCAATAGACAAAGACAATAACTTGTTATGTAAGATGGTGTGATCATATATACAGTAATAAATCTTTCATATGCAAGACAAACTGACAAAGGTCGCATAACAAACCAGATTGAACGCAAGAGCATGTATAGTCTAGTATATAGAATTGCAATTTTAACTTAATCGTAAATCGCAATATATTTCAGCATATTTTCTTTTGCGTCAAAGTAATTTCTGTTTTAATTCTCTGAAACAAAGCAGTACGCTTAGTTAAGTTCAGTATACGATATGATTTGAAAGAAAAGCAGCGAATTCCTTTACTTGCCACTGGCAAAACTGGCACTCTGGCAAAACTGGCGCTCTGGCAAAACTGGCGCTCTGGCAAAACTGGCAAACTGGCGCTCTGGCAAAACTGACTAGCACTTTAGTAAACTGGCGCTCTGGCGAAACTGGCGCTCTGGCAAAACTGGCGCTCTGGCAAACTGGCGCTCTGGCAAAACTGGCACTCTGGCAAACTGGCGCTCTGGCAAAACTGGCACTCTGGCAAAACTGGCGCTCTGGCAAAACTGGCGCTCTGGCAAAACTGGCGCTCTGGCAAAACTGGCGCTCTGGCAAAACTGTCGGCGCTCTGGCAAACTGGCGCTCTGGCAAACTGGCGCTCTGGCAGATGGATAAAAAGCAAAAAACGTAGATCATTTTGGCGTATGGCATTCAGAGTCGTTATAGATGACGTGAGACATAGTTTGTATAATTACCATATATTATTTATATCCAGAATAATTTTGTATATTACTTGTGACGTGTTCTGTGCTTTGCTACACGGCTTAATAACCATTTTAATTATCTTGACAGAATATGGGTATATTTGTTTTGAACAAATATGTGAAGTATGTTAGCGGAGGTCAAACAAATGAAAAGCACAATTAACACAACTATAATGTATCTTCGATATATACCATCCGCTAACATGCATATATACATAGCTACTTAGCTAGTCACAAGCAAGGTCAACCCAAGACTCTGTGAGGTTTGCTATAGCCCCAATACGCAGTCACGTCATTATTCAATGTTTGATTATATTAAAATCACAACATCTCTTCAATACTATCCATTTGACCCATACCAGGATCTGGCAAGTTGGCAACAAATTTTGACCGTACATGGCAGTCATTACGACGGTGGTATATACTGTATGAATAAATACTGTTAAATAATATATATATATATATATATATATATATATATATATATATATATATATATATATATAATAAGAATTGATTGTCCAAAGCAGTTCGCAGCGTTGCGAGCCAGTTTAGCGTTTCATCGTGGTTAAATATGATCATATCTTAAGGAGTTTATCTATTAGTCGAGTACGTGTCGAGTGTCGAGAATTAAATGTCGAGGGCGAGGGTGAGGGTAAAAAGTCGAGGGTGAGGGTAAAAAGTCGAGGGTGAGAGTAAGAAGTCGAGGGTGAGGGTAAAAAGTCGAGGGTGAGAGT